ATTTATATATATATATTAAAAATTTTCTTTCTACACATACGAAGGAAGACTGATCAATTTTGACGCGCGATCGTTTATAATAACACGACTAATAGATTGCTTAATCATTTGAAACATACATAAATATTAATATTAAAATAAGTTACATAATTACACATGGCAAGGCACAGCAAAGTGGTAGGCAAACGGGTACGACTGCTTTGCCGCTGCTCGATTTCGTTTTGCTTTTTGAAGACGCTTCGTATTCATATTTTCCCTTAGCTTTTGCCCATCCTCCCTGCAACATATCATTTTTATTATTTTCATCATATTAATTTATGTTACACGCGTAACGTAACGAAAAATTGGAACCAGAATTTTTCATTTATCATTACAGAATGTACTTTATATCGTAACAGCGAAAAAATATTATTCTTGGAAATGCACAATGTGCATTTCATACTTACACCAGCCTGTGACATAGCCGCGCTAGATTCTTCTTTTTTAGTAAACTCTGCAGCTCCTGGAGGATAGTAAACCGGAGGCCCTGCGACATTTTTACTTTTCACTTTCGGTGGTGTATGGGGCACGAAGTCGACTTCCTTTTTCACCGCCGGCGAATCTTTCTGTTGTTCTTTTTCCCTTTTTTCGATATCTTCCAGTACCTCGCGCTAAAAATAAATAAAATAAAATAAAAACAATTGGTTGCAGGACAACGATATTAGAAACAATTATCTCTCCTACCTCCGTGTCGGAAAACGATGCCATCAGGTCTTCCAACTTTTTAGGAGGGGTCTGCACGTTGTTAACAGGCCTGGCTCGAACATCCTCGACCGGGAACGGTTTAGGTAACAAAACCTCGTGGTCCTCGGGGTTCTTGCTCGGTGGTATCGTTGTGGTCGTGTTCGATAATTTATATATAGTGGTGGATTGCGGCTGGGTGCTAGATTGTGGTGGCGGTGTATAATAATTAACCGGTGTTCCCGGTTTATCAGGTGTCGGGTGTCGTCCGGTGGACGGTGGCCGGCTAGGATAATGTTCCTCGATTCGATTTATAGTGGTGTGGGTCTCGCTCACATTCGGCGGTTGATTCTGGTAAATCACCGTGCTCCCCGGATGATCACCGGCCGGATAACCATTCGGGTACGCACCGTCCACCTGATAATACTTCTCGTTTCTCGTGATCGTCGTTTTGTTCTCCGCTGGCGGATGATAGACGGTCGTCGTTGGATGACCCGGCCGGCCACCGTGATGCTCCTCCCGATAGAATTTCGACTCTTGGTGAATCGTGGTTGACTTCTTGGTTACGTCCGTTATCGGTGGCGGCGGGCTACTGTATCTGGTCGGGGTTTTGGACGGTACGTTCTCGGTCACGGTCTGATAGGTGATCGTTTTGTCGGTGGCCGAGGTGGTTCCTTTCGGTATCGTGTACGTGATGGTTTGATCACCTGGCAACACCACCGTCCCTGGCACGTTGCCACCTGGTAGATAGGTTTCAGGTGGCCCCGGTAACTCGTACGTGTACGTTTTGATGGTGGTCGTCACTTTGGTGTTGGGACCCGGCGCCAGGTTGATGGGCACCGCTGGCGTCGGTGATGGAACCGGGATGTACTCCACGTTTCCGTATTCTTGGGCGGCGCTCGTGTGCACCGTCGTCACCGTATTCTGTTGTACCGGTTCTGTTTGGTAACCTAGAACGTTGTTTGTTCGATCGTGGAATAAAAAATAAATTTTTCTCGTTCCCTGTGAAAATAAAATGTTTAATTTCGAGTACTTACCACTCGAAGTCGATGATTCGTGAATATATTTGACGTCCCTTTGAGCAGAGGGCAGAGGGGAGGTTTGCTTCGAACGAGACGTAGAAGTGTCGCTGTACACCTGAAACATTTCTTTTTTTTAATTCGCGCGTAATTTTTGAGGGACGTTGTGTGAAAATGCATGGCGGGAGACAAAGCACTACTCACTAGTTCTCTGTTCACCGATTTGCCAACCGGTTCTAAGCCGCGTTGCATTGTGCTTTCTTCGTAGGTCCTTTCTCGAATATCATCGCTGCAAAGTGTGTAACGTTACACGATGTATCACAATGTAAAATAAACAATGTTGCCGGTAACACGATATTTAAATGCACGATCGTGAAAATAATAAAGGAAGGAGGGGACGATGAAATATAAATATACCATATCTCTTTGATTTTAACAATCAAATTAGTTTTCTCTAAACTTTATAATACACGCGTAATAATATTGTTGGCAACGATACGATAAGTAATTTTAGTATTTTCGTTCTAAAGAACAGCACTTACATCATAGCCGTGTTCGTCAACGCATTGTCAACCGTCCATGAGTCTGAAACGTGAAAAAGGAAATTTAAAGTTCAAAAATTATTCTTTTTTTTCCCCTCCCCTATTCGATTCTCAAAGAATTCGAAATGAACGAACGGCCATCACCCAGTAACCCAATGACAATGGGGCATCCTTGCGGCTCAATGTCACCGATTTTTCGATTCGATCGAGGGTTTCCATTCTTTCTCTCTTTTTCTCCACTCCTCTCCGCCCGATGGAGGGACGGAGAAATCGGGTCAACCTTCTGTTATACGCAACCCTAATATGGATATGGTTGTGTGTTACCGCAAACAACGCACACACACCGGTCGCGGCAACGTCACTTCCATATAGAGAGGCGGCCAAGCGCGGAAATCTTCGCCGCGTGTAATGGCGTTGTCGTGTAAAGCTGGGACCACGGTTTACCGGTACCTCGTAGAATTTCAGAAATTGCGACACCTAACAACCTTTCGCGTCCCCCTTTCGCATAATGTACACTCATTAGACGTAATGTTTCACGATGCATCACCGATTTCGCGATCCCCTATTTGCGTTAAATTCGAATTTATGCGCCGACTTTGATTCACATTTAGCTCAATTGTTATTCTTCCGTTCGATCCATCGTTGGGCTAATATTAAATAACGCGGTTTTATTAGAATCTAGTATTTTAATTCCGTTCTTATTCTCTGTTAAATTTGTCTCCAATTATTACGTAAGCAATTTTTCTAATTCTAATTCATCAACTTCGTGTATTATTTTACTTTCTTTTGCCCCAGAATCGATGTCTATAATTCTATAGAAAATAGAATAAAGAAACGAACGAGATTGTTCTATCGATCATTGGTTCCTTGATCGAGGGGCGGGTACTCGATCGAAGTTCACACTTAACTTTATTCCGAGGTTAAATGGGATATTTGATCGAGAAGGTGGCGAATAATCCCCGCGGCAACCTTACGAATACCTCCCTCGTTTTGTCGTTCTCATTGTTAATTAACCGTATACCTGCAAGGCCGTTCCACGCCTTAAAAGGAGCGACACGAGAGTGGCCCCCTACCTTCCCCTACCGTCGTTCAAAACGTTCGCCAGCGCTTGCGCGCGATTCCACGCCCGAGGGTTCGTAGCGGTGCATATCCGGCAAAAAGCTTTTCATCGAAATTCCTTTCTTTTTCTCTCTCTCTTTCGCTTCGATCTTCCGGCTTCCGTTTCCTCGCCGTCGATAATTCGACGAAGGCGCGTCGTCGTTTCAACGTTGGAAATTGGAAATTCGTCCCGAATTCGGATCGAAGATTGGATCGTGAATGTTTCACTCGATCGATTCGAAGGGAAGACACGAGTAAATGCGCCTGGTCCGTTTAAAAGAAGGAAAGAGGAGAGATCCGCTTACCAATTGGTTTCCCGTCCAAACTTTTGTTATATTGATACGACACTTGTTTGTAGGCGATCGTTTTACTTTGCCCGGGTTGCACCTGAAACAGAGATTATTTCTTTTAATTTATAGAAATGTAGAATCGTGAGTTGTACAAAGCGAGACGATCTATTCGTATATTTTTGTCCCTACGCTTTTTATTGCCACATATCTTACATACCATCTCCGTTACCATTCTTTTTTTTTATTTGTTGTCGTAGAAGACGCGTCAAACTTTCTTTTTTCCTCAATAATTACACATTCGAGTTATCGCTAATTTTGCATTCGTTCTGTGCAGCAATAAAGATATAGATATTTGCTTTGCTCGGCCAACATTTTTATCTCCGCGCAAATTCTTTTTTAAATCGTTTCGGCTGCTCGATCGACCGAAAGAAATCTCGCGAAAAACGTAAAGAGAGAAATTTAATTGCCTCGAAATGACAAATCTCTCTGATTACGTATCATATTTGCATAAAAACGCGGGATGTCAAGAAAAAAAAAGAAGAAGGAAAAAACGCACAAACGCGGAACGCGCCGTTCGAGTTTTTCGAACCGATCAGATTCGATATCCAATTAAAACGTAAACCGGAACGTGGAACCAACGTGGAATATCGGAGATTTCGGGTTTTCGAGCCGTGTTATTTCGTATGCAAATTGGAATAGGCGGTGTCCTCGCGCTGTGGAGCAGCCCCCTTTAAGGGCCCCGCGGTTGTTTATCCCCGGCGAGCGTGAGATGCGCGCGATAAATTGCACGCGCTGTAAACCAATCTACATTTTCATTGAATGTTACGACTGGGCCGGGAAACTAGTTGCAATTACGCCCTCCCCCCCCCCCTGTAACGCGTAACAGCAATCTTTGCACGATCCTCTAATGTACGTATCTCGTAAGACGTCAGATTTATGACACCGCATTCTATACGAAACGAATCGTCTTATTTCTTCTGATGTTATCCGGTGATCCGGCACGGTCATCGTGGAATTCATAAATTCTTTTTCTTTTTTCTTCTTCTTCTTGCGAAAATAATGGAAATATTTTCATGGGAGAAACTGTGCGAAGCCTGATATTTAAATGGCGAAAGCTATTTTTTTTTTTTTCTTCTTTTATGAAGATAATTTGAAATTTTTTTTCACGCGAAAGAAACTTTTGTCTAATACGTTCTATTCTTTTTAATTTTAAGTTAAAATTTGTAGAAAAGAATCGAGAAAAACTATTCTTGTTACGTAATGCGATCTTGCGTATCGAACATAATTTTCTCGATCCATAAGTTAGACGAGATGATTTAACGTCTCGAAGTGTACGGTATAATTTAAAATAAGATTACACATTTGGTCGACTTGTTTCGGTTGAACTTTAGATCAAATTTTGCGGCGATTGCGCGTCAAGATTACGAGGCTTTGCTTTATTACATAAGGCTGATCTTACTGTTTGCAACAATTCTAATATATTAAATAGATGTAGATGCAAGTACCTCGAGGCCGATCTCGTGCGATGCAATCTCGTTGACATATAATTGGAACCGTCAACAAAAGAAAAGTGAAAAGGCAAAAACTAAAATTATGGTGGTTGCATGTCCGTCTAATCATTTTCGAACTGGTTTTCTTGTGTTAAATATACATCAGTGACGCGTATTATAGATTCACGTATAAAAAAATTTCTTTAAAATTTGAAACCAACGTTGCATCGAGCACCACCACTCTTTTTCTCGTTCATTGCGTTTACCTACGTAATTTGAATTAATTCGAATGAATATTGCACAAGGCAATTGTGCTACTTAGATTCCAATCATTCTAGTAATTTGCTTTTTTGTTAGAGGAATCGTTGTAGTTGAAGAAAAAGTGCCCTAGTGACCCCTAGTAGCCCTAGGGAACTCTAGTGATCGCTTAGATTTGCAAAGCTCGAGATTCAGTTTCTGTTAACTTTCTGTTTGTAAATTCGAAATAAATTTAGTTATAACTTACATTCTGTAATTCTGAATCGATGAAATCCAAACCGGGAATACCACTCGGCGCACCACTCGGTCCAGTGCTCACGTATTTTTCCGTGGTGGTTGTCATCGTTCGAGTTGGTGAAATAGGTCTAAAGTCAAATCGATTAAAGAATTTATTTAATTAATTATTTATTTATTTTTGGTTGAAATCTAAAATATCAAAGTCTACCCACCTGCCTTCGGAAACGATCTTGGTAGGATTCGCAGCTACTCGATACTCTACTTGAGGCGAAAGTGCCCTGCCACCGCGACTAGGGGTGGTGCTTCTTGAGACACTTGTTTGCAAATCTTCGAGAAGAGCATCTGAAATCATTAAGTAGTTCGTAAGTAATTTTTGCATCCAAGATAACGATGCCCTTGTAAACGCGTAGTTTCGATAATAGAAAATAACAGAAAATATGTGTGAAGTAAATAACGCGTATCTTATCACGAATAAAAAAAATTATTATATCGAATATATATAAAATACGTCGTATATTCTTCGACAAATTTGATCAAATGGATGACTAATTTGCGTTACACGAAAAAAGATATTTATAGTTGTGCGATCTCTTTGACTCTCTGAACGAATAAAGTTATTTTCGTCGTTGATATCATTTCAGTAATTACGAAAAATTAAGAAAACATAGTATCATCGATGTTTTCAAAAAAAAAAAATATACGTGATGTGATTTATTTTATATGTACATATTAAATGTAATTCCTGATTCCTAATACGATAGCAAGAGAGCTTATGCAACGACGTGATTTAAAATTGATAATCGTTATTCCTACGAAGATGGACAAATATTTTCGATATAATTTCGTTCCAAGAACGAAATCAATCGATCGTTCTGTAGTGCAGAAAGTGATCAGAATTAGATCGAACAATCTTCTTTACCATTCAAGTGATGATCGAGTTTCGTGGCACAAATCTAATCGTCGAATCGCACGTAGCAGTGACACATGCAGAGAAGTTTGGTCGAAAAAGAATGACCCAGGTGGATAGGATTACACCTCTGGTGGCACATTTAAAGATTTACCTAAGTTGTTTTCGAGGCTGTTGGCCGTGGTTGTCGACTGGCTCTGGCCAGATATAGGACCACCATGACTCACGATCTTTCTGCTCGTGTGCGTTGTCGTTCTCTCCCTCACCGCAGCTGACATTGCGCTCTTCTTCAAATTCCCTGCCTCACGAGGTCTGGAGAACAATTTAAACAAAAAAAAAAAGAAATAAGTCAAACGTTGTCTCGTGCTCAAAAATAGCAAAGCATCTTCCGAATTTTTACGAGCTATTTTTCCGATAAAATGTGACTGTATAAAAAAGTTGATCGTTAGATTTCACGAATAATTTCCTTAACTTTCAAAAGATCCTTCGTTGAATATTTTTCAAACCCCGAGACACACTTTTCCAATTCTAATATTCGATTTCACAGAACCGAAACAATCGCGATAATCCTATCACCGCCTCGCCACGAATCTAATTACCAAGCAGTCGATTCCGAGAACGACTAGGCAATCGATCATCCCCCCGAGATTACGATTTCCAACGAAGATCTCGGTTACGTCAATTAAACGTGATACGTGATACGACGATACGAAAATAAATCGTCGAATCTAGCTTCTCCTCGCATTTCGATAATCGATTTCTTCCCTCTTCGCCCAGCTCCTCTCCTCCTCGCTTCCTCCCGCGTAGAGTATCCTGTTATTGCCTCCTCCGAACGGAACAGCGCGTCTATTTATAGATGCTGAACGTTTATAAATATGGCAGATCCGAGGAGAGAGAACTGGATCCGCGCCGCTGGAAAGTTTCGCGGGGGGGAACACCTGAACACCGAGGACCGTTTGAACCTCTCCGTTCTCCGCGGTGGCATTTCGAAGTTAAGTGGGCGCGTTTGTGCCCTTACGTCTTGTGCCACCACGCTGGAAGAAATAACGATTTATCTCGACCGTTCCTTCTCTCGATCGGTGCGCGTATCGCGCGTTTACTTAACCGCGGCTACGGGGGACACGTTTCGAACACGATGTTTCGAAAACTAGTTTTGTAAGAGGGGTATTAAGAGAGGTATAATGGCCACGGCGTGGGCCGATACCGAGAGATCTGCTTCTGATTAGACGTTGGGTGACGTTGGAGGGGGAGGATTGATTTATGCGAATTGCTCGGCCGCGATGAAATAGGGAGTCGAGGATTTATCGATATCGGGGGAGTTTCGCAATTAGGGGAGAATGCAAAATTTCTTTCTAAATTGTTTTGATACTAATAGTGCGTTCGAATCGCGATATTTTGCGATTCTCGGTATAGAATTTTGCTTGCGAATCTGTTTTTAACCGACGAAATAGGGAGTCGAGGATTCATCGATATCCAAATTTCCTCTAAATTATCCTCTTGTTTTAATTTGTTCCATGTATTTTGCATGTATATATGAATCCTTTTTTTCTTCTTTTTGTTATATATTTAAATAGAGGCGAGATTCGAACGAGACATATTTAGAATTCACTGGTCCGCGTAGAAAGTATTTCCACGGGAAACGGGCCGGTTGTTTTATTCCGGCGGAGACATCAATGCGAATGGGGCAAAGGGGCCAAGGAGGTCTTCCAAGAATCGAGGAGGAGACTCGCTCATATGACTCGCCACTGAAACCTTGAAACGGAAACCCGGACGGTTTCTAGAATTCCGTATTCTTCTAACGAATCCTCGAGAGAGAGAGAGAGAGAGAGAGAGAGAGAGAGAGAGAGAGAGAGAGAGAGAGTA